ATTGCTTCCTGGGTTTGCCTTTGGTGAATTGGAAGTCTGGGGTTGCATCTTGCATAAGTATCTTTTCATTTTCTTTCTTTTTAGTTCAATTCCTTTGCAGATCCTTGTAAGTTGCTTATGCCAGGTAGCTTTATGGAAAGTATTGAGACCCCTTAGGAAATGACTACTTCTCAGGGATCTCTCAGGTGCAGCTGGCTTTTGGGTTTTGAGTCTGTTGCAAGATCCTACCTCTACAATTTATTGTGAATGAGAAATTGCTGCCTATTTGGTCCAGCCCTATAATATTTTTTATGACTCTTAGGTGATCTAGCCTTTGTGTGTGTGTGTGTTTTTGAGACGGGGTCTCACTATGCAGTTTAGGCTGGCCTTGAGCTCACTTTGTAGTCCAGGCTGGTCTCAAACTCACAATGATCCTCCTGCCTCAGCCTCCTAAGTGCTGGGATTACAGGCATGAGCCACCTCACCCGGCTAGGTGACCTAGTCTTAGTATACCAGAGAAAACCGATTAGAACAATTATGACACCTTGGCTAAATAGCACAATCAGCAATAACAATAGCATGAAACACAACCTAGAAAATGACAAGCTGTGGTAACTATTAATTTGCTACCTTAACTATATGAACTATATTGGTGGCTATATAACAAGATCTAAAATGAACTGGAAAACTGTAAACAGTAAATATGCCTCCAACGGGGTAATTTTATCCTTAGAGGACAAAATTTAAAAGGTGCTAGGTAGACAATAGAGAAAAAGAAAAAAAAGAGATTAGACGCAAGGCTGGAGGACAAACATAGTTTACCCAAATTTGGGGAGTTAATAAAGAAGATAGGAGGGAAAGAGGAGGGCGAGATGAAAATAAGAACAATAACAACAAAAATACTTAGGAACAAGGTTCACACTCATAAAAACGAGAACAAACAATCAAGGAAAAAACAAGAAATACAAGAAAAGAAAAAGTCCACTTCCAGGCGTCTCCGCTATGACCGTAGACAGCACCCACATCCGTGCTGAGCAACCCCAGGAAACCAGCCATGGCTCTGCAGCAGGACAGTGGGCAATCCCAGCAGCACCTTCAGTTCCGCTGGCATCTGGGTCGGTTTCCAGCTGTGAGGCTGGAACCCCATTTGTGCAGCCTGCAGCAGTCCCTGTGCCTCCAGCCGGTGTGAACTCAGCTCCTTGGCCTCCAGCTGACTGGAACTCAGTTCCTCCTCTCCGTGACACTGGGACCCTCTGCTCTCCAAGGTGCTACCAGCCCATCTCTCTTGGCTGAGGGACATCTGAACCCAAATAACTCAGCAGCCAGTGCAGTCCACTGCATCCACTGCTCTGCTCCACCGTTGTGCTCCTCTGCGGGGGCCTCTGGGGTCACCAGTGGTCACTGCAGGCCTGCAGGGTCAAGTCACCTCTCCCACATGAGTCAGGGCTTAGGGGGAAAGTGCCTTCTTTCCTGAATTCTCCCTCACTCTGCTCATGGGTCTCAGATCCCACCTCAGATCCTTGCTGGGTCCTGGGGATCCACCTCCTTACTTCTTCTCTTCCTCACATTGCTCTATTCCAGAGTCTGGACACCAAATCTCAGAGAAGTTGTTTCTCTGCCATCTTTCTGGAAGTCTTTTCCTTTCTTTCTGTCTGTCTTCCTTCCCTCCTTCCTTCCTTTGGTTAGTTTGCACTGGCCTTGAATTATGTAGCCCAGGTCCCAAATTCTAGAGGATCTTCCTGCCTCAGCCTCCAGAGTGCTGGGATCGCAGGAGTGTGCTACCTTGCCCAGCTCAGGAATATTCTTGGGTTCTCCCACAGCAGAGCAGTCACAGAAGGACAGCACCCGAGCCCATTTTGGGGTTTCCTCACTCCTACATGGCTGAGATGTTCTCTTTTCAGTGGGCGTGTCCTGACCCACAGAGCCCAGGCTGTGGGTGCCCCTCTCCCAGTCATACACCCACTGAACATACCATGCCGGACCTGGGCAGCCTGCCTGCCTCTGCCTCCCCAGCACTCTGGGCTCCTGTGTCCCCACCTTCCCTTCTTGCACCCCATTGGATGGCTCCTCCACTCCTGTCAGCCTGTGGTCGGCACCTGCCAGGTCACAGTTTAGCACAGTTCGTTCCCGGCAGAGCACAGTGCCAGCCTGGCTGTTCTCACATGACCCACACAGCTCGCAGCACTCCTAGCTGGCCCGGCAGGACCTCCCTTCCAGGCCGCACGCAGACTGACACTAACCTACTGTGCTGGGGACACCGCCTTCCTCCGTCACTCACTGGCACCACACAGGCAGGAAACCGAGCCTCTCCATTTAGCCTTGGTCCCTGACTTGGCCCTGACCACAGGTCAGCACAGCCTGGTTGCCACCCCATGCCAGCCTCAAGCTAGGAAAAATAAACTCCTGAAGGCCTGAGGAAGGACTGATGGAGCTTTAGGGGAATTCTGTTCTCTCTGCCACCTTCTGCTCAGTTCACTGAAATCCTCTTGTTGTCGCTCCCCGCTCTGCCGACCCACCCCCGCCCCTCCTCCGCTCCCGCTCACCTGCAGCCGGCTGGTCCCAAGCAGCCCAGTGCACCCTGCCTCCTCCAGGGCCCAGGCCTCCCCATGGCTTCACCACCAGCCCCCCAGCCCTGCACACACTCATGGCCCCACGGGTGCCAGAGCCTCCATGACCGACGCCCAGGCAGCGGTGCCAACTCAACAGGTGGCCCTGTGGGCTCCGGTTTCTGCCCTTTCCCAGCCCAGGGTGCCTAGTCTCTGTTCCCCTTCCTGGAGCCACCGCACTGGCCCAGGGCCAACCTTGCTGCAGCTGTGGCCTCTCCAACCTGCTTCCCAGACCCCGGCCCTGCCTGGCACCCTGCACCATCTCAGCCTCCGAGTTCCTGCCTCAGTCTCCCGATTGGCACCCCAGGGAGGAAACCCTGAGTTCACCAGGGCTGCCCACTCGACTCTGCGGCCCCCAGCACACAGCAGGGCCGACTGTCCCAGGAGCCGAGCCCAGGCCCCTGGCCTTCTGCAGCCAGGGGCAGTGCTTTCAGGGGTGCATTGAGACAGGCAGGCTGGGTGCACCCTGGGACTGCCCACCTCAGACCCCTCCCTCCCATCCAGGTCCATGGCCCAGGGCCTCAGAGGAGAGTGGGGGCTTCAAAGCCCCTGAATCAAAGGCCATTATCAAATGCTAGGGCCAGAGGTGGAGGCTGGGCAGCAAAGGGGACACAGAGGTGAACTTCAAGTCCTCTCTGCAGCTCTGCTTACACAGCCTTCAAGGAAGGAAGCTCAAGCTCTGTTTAGAAAACCCCTGACCCCTGCGCCACGAGGTGTCCCGCATGCCAGCACCCTGTCGTACCCCCTCAGCACGCCGCGGTTAGGGATTAAACACAGTTTTATGCTTTTTCTTTGTGGGGGGAGTTGAGACCGAGTCCCTCTAAGAAATCCAGGTGGGTATCTGAATGGCAGCAATCCTCCTGCCTCAGCCTCCCCAGTGCTGGAATGACCAACACGTGCTTTGGTGCCTGGCTAGAGCATGCTTTCGTAATAAGGCAAAATAATCAATAACACAGTGAACTTCAGACCTCAGTTCAGACCTTGGTGAGAACTTCCTTGGGTCACAGACCTTGCAAGGAGACCCCAGGAGAATGAGGCTGCGCTAGGAACCACAGCCACCACAGGCAGTCCCAGTCCCGCAGTGCTTCCCAGGCTGTCCCCGGGAGTGGCCCTGGTGTCATGCCAACCACCAGAGGACGGGCTAGATGGAAGAGCAGTGTGTCCCGCGTGGATGTGGTACACTTTGCAGAAATCCAGCACCCTCTACAGTGAGCACCACAGTCAGCACCAGGCAGGGACACACCCAAAGGACATTCGGAGGGGACCAGACAAGGCCATTTCCATCCCAGAAACCACAAAACCATCCACAGCCAGGAGTGGTGATGTACCTCTGTCATCCAAACCCTCAAGGAGGCTGAGACAGGAGCACTCCAAGTTCCAACCCAGCCTGAGCATCTTAGTGACTCGGTGAAATCAAAAATTTAAAAACAATAAAAATAAAGGGACACCCTCAAAGCACTGCAGAGCGACAGGGCATAGGTACTCCAGGTACAAGCAGTGGGTCTCCCTCCTTCCCAGGACACTGTCTGGCCCCCAGCTCCCCCACCCCTTCCATGTGGGACCAGCCTCTGGCAGCTGGGGCTGAGACACTTCTGGGGTGGTCAGGATGCATGTCCAGGGCAATGGCCTAGCACCTGTCATCCCTGAGCCACCACCATCACTCTCATCCTCTGCAGAAATGGCAGGCCTGAGCCCTCTCGCCCACTCCTGCACTCCCACTGCTGCCCGGGGGACTGTGCTCCTCCACTTCCCACAGGAGTTTTCCACGGAGTGCCTGCTGCCCAACCCTCCCCACACACACACTGGCTGGCAGCTAGGACCAGGTCTCCAATGGGCCATGCCAACAGGTGCCAGCTTTGAGGGCCCAATACATCACTGAGCCAACTGTCAGGGACCACAGTGGCACACGGTGAAAGCGGGAATCATCTCCACACCCCAAAACACCAGGAGCTCACAGCCTCACTGTGCTTGCTCCAGTCAAGCAAAGCGTACACCTTTAGTTCTGTGTTTTTGCTCTGGGGGTTAAATCCAGGCAGAGCCTAAATACTACATCCCTGGGGCCCCTTTTATTTTATTTATTTCTTTTTTTTCTTTTTTTTTTTTTTTTTTTTTTTTTGTGGTACTGGGGATTGAACTCACTACCTCACACTTGCCAGGCAGGCACTTATGCTGCTGAGCTAAATCCCCAGCCCTATTTTTTTTATTTCAAGACAGGATTTTACTCAGTTGCCCGGGAGGGGCTCAAATAGGGGTCCTCCTGCCTCAGCTTCCCAGTCTTACAGGCATGCACCAGCACCCCTGGTTAGGTCTTGAATAAGCACTGACTCCAGGCCACGAAAAAGCCTCCAATATAGGAGCCTGAGAGCCAGCCAGCCGCTTATCCAGAAAAAGCAGAGCGCTACCGGTCAGCCTTACCCATGACCACGCCGAGTCCAGGGGCCCCTTGCCCTGCAGGGCATCCCAGCCGGAGCTGTGGACACGGCTCTGCTTCGCCATGGCTGGCCCAGGAGGGAACTGTCCCTGTCCCTCTCCCTCAAGACACCATCTCAGGAGCCGGTCGGTGGCGACACCCGTGCCCAGGGTGGCTGCGCTTCCTCCTGGACGCTGGGTGGAGCAGGGCCAGGTCACAAGGCCGTGGGGCAGCAGGGTGTTGGGTTCCTTGTCCTCTCCCACCTGGGTGCTGCTGGCAAACTGTGCCCGCGGCAAGGAGCCACATGCTCCAGTCCCTGCCCATGTGGCATGGGGCAGCTGGAGGGGGTCCCACTCCGGCCATCTGCACTTCTGGGCTGCGCAGCTCTAAGACAGGACCAGGACGGGGCAGTGTGGTGGCATGGGACTGTGACCCCAGCACTCCAGAGGCTGAGGCAAGAGAATCACCAGTTCGGGCAACTTAGTGACTTTAATGAGACCTTGTTTCAAAATACAAACCCAAAGCCCTGGCGTTGTGGCTCAGGGCAAAAAGCCCTGGGTTCAATCCCAGTGCCCCAGCCCCATGCCAAGCCTGCCTCTGAGCTCACGGCAGAGCAAGACCAGCAGGGGACACTGCGTGCTGGAAGCCCCTGTCTCAGGATGAGCCCGACGTCCCAGCTTGGCTTTTCTGCTCTCGGTGTGGAAGTGGAAACAGGGAGGTGCTGGTTCTCCACCCAGGTCTGGCTCGGGGCTGACGCCTCCTGGAGCAGCAGCACAGCCATCCGATGCCCTGAAAGGTCCTCCTGGGGCCAAATGCCACCCTGCTGGCCATGTCCACCCCCTTGCTATTTTTAATCCACCCCACTGAGATATTTTAAGAAGCTGATGACCATGGAGTGATAAGGTGGTGAGGAGTCGGGACTGGTGACGCATGGCACTGGCCGAAGGACCGACAGGCAGCCGTCCCTGGGGACAGCGTGGCCGCAGTCGCCCGCAGGAACCCGAGTGTGCACAGCTGCGGCTGCACCGTGGTCCTCAGAGCCCTCAACACGGCATCTCACAGCAGAGACAGCGAGGCAGGCAGGGTGACACGGGTCTAGCTGCCAGGGTCCACGCTGGGGTTCGGTCTGCACCACCTGGCCAGCACTCACGTCTGAGAGCCCTGGTCCTCTGACCCTGCAAAACAAGCCATGCTGGGCAGGGGCACAAGAGCAACTGTCAGCCTCTCATTTTTTAGACTCTCTTCACTCTGACCATTTTTCTTTTTTGTGTATTTATTTAGTTTGATATAGTTCCATTTGTTCGTTCTCAATATTATTTCTTGGGCTATTAGAGTCCAATTTAGAAAGACTTTGCCTATAATTTTTTTGACACAAGTTCCTGCTATGTAGTGCAGGCTGATTTTGTACTCACAGCAGTCCTCCTGCCTCAGCCTCCTGAGGGCCAGACTGCCTGTGTTTATGATCTCAAGTTTGTGGCACAAAATACATGCACTCAGCATGGGGAGCAATTGCATGTACACATCACGTCTTGATCTTTTTCTGCTTCCCCCTGTCCTCTCCTCCCTCCAACGCCCTCTCCCATTCCCAGGTCCCCTTTGCGTCTCCACCAAAAACCTATCTCTCTTTTTTATCCGCTATCTCCTGCTCTGTTCTTTAATTTATTTACCTATATTTGGTATTTCCCATATGTTATGGGGCTTTGTTTAGATGCCCTCACAAGGCCTCATGCCATCAGGCAGCTCTTTCAGAGGCGGCTGATCTAGAGTGTGGGATGCTGGGATGGATTCACGGTGCAGTGCTAGGCTCAAGGGCACTGGGGGTGAGGGTGTGAGTGCTGCTGGCCCTGAGCAGCCTGGCTAAGACAGAAGGGATGGAAAGAGCTGGGGTCCGCCCTGTCACTTGCTTGTTTTGCTATGTTCTGCCCGCCATAAACTGTTTCTCCTCTGCGATGCCACCCTGCCTCCAAGCCAGTCCATGATGGATAGAAATCTCTACAAACTGTGAGCTAAATAATCCTTTCCTCCCTTAATTTTGGGCATTCTGTCTCAGCAATGAGAAAAAGTAACTAAGACACCATATAAGAAAAACCATATGATAATTAGGCTCATGTGTCTGATTGATTGTACCTAGCATTACCGGTTCAAGGTGCACCTGCTTGCCTAGACAAGCCTCAAGTGTATCCTTTTTATGGCAGGGTAATACTCCACTATGTGTAAACACCACTTGTTTTTAATCAGTTCATCTATTAATGGTCATACAGGCTGCTTCCACAATTGAGCTGAACAGATGCTTGCACAGGGTACCTGGCTAGGGACCTACTTTCCATAAAATGCCAGACATCCTGGCAATAAGACAGAGACGTGTAAAGGGTCTTCCAGAGTGCTGAGGCACACACCTGTAATCCCAGCACTCAGGAGGCTGAGGCAGGAAGATCGCCGTTCAAGGACAGCTGAGGCTTCATGGTGAGTTCAAAGCCAGTCTAAACTGCGCAGAAACCCTGTCTCGAGAAAACCAATTAACTAATAAACACATAAACAAATAAATAGCTTTTCAGCTGCAAGTTCTGGCGACCCCCATGCACTTAGAGAGAGGTCAGTGAGGCGTCTAAAACAGGCCAAGCACAGTCTTTTCACTTCCGCCCAGGGCAGCGCACAAATGGCGCGGTGGGGAGAACGGGCTAACCCCCCCCCCCCGCGCTGCAGGCCGGATCTGCAGCCCGTCCCTCGGCAAGAACAAGCCCTCCCGTGGCGTTGGGTCCCGCGCAGCCCCAGCCCCAGGCCGAGGCCTCCAAGCCGAGGCTGGAGAGGAGGAGGCGGCAGCGGCCAGGACGGGCGAGGGGCCGCGGGGCTCACGGCGCTGTCCGCGCGCGCGGTGCTGAAGGCGGCTCTGTGCAGGGATCCTCCACGCGGTGCGCGAGCTGGGCGAGCTGCTGTCGCCCGCCTGGGTCGCCTCCCTGCGCCTCGCATTGCCCGCGGGCGTCATCGTGGGACAGAAGCGCGGGCTGGGGACCCGCGCCGCGCCGCGCCGCGCTGCGGGTCTCCATCCAGGTGCCCTTCTGGAGCCGTGCAGGCCACTGTGACCCTCCTGCCTACTTCCGTGCAGCCGCCCTATGCTCCAACAGCAAGGCTTTTTAATTTTTAGAAAGGTACAGTTTCGTTTAATAGTCCAAATATGACCACACGCCTGTCATCCCAGCCCTCTGAGAGGCTGAGACAGGAGGGTCTCAATTTCGAGCTCAGCCTGGGCAACCAGGAGACTTAGCAAAGGCCCTGCCCCAGAAATAAATAGACAAATAAGCGCCCGGGGATGCGGCTCAGTGCGAAGGTCACGGTATGTGCTGGCCACCTGCTAGCTGGCTTTGTGCGGGAATTGGGGGCTTGACACTTTAGGGGTGAGCTTCCTGACCCAGGAAAAAAGGAAAATGATCCCTGTGGGATTTAATAGATGTTTCTCATTGGCCTCTGAGACTTCAGCAGGTGCGGACCCAGCATGTGACAGCCTAGCACTGAGTCCCAGAACTGTGAATCTGAGGGAGACATTAGCTCCAAGCTCCTGACAGGAGACCGAAGCACACATAGTGCGGGGCCACCTGCGGTAGAACCAGCCACCTCCGTGCAAAGCAGGAGAGAAACACACTTAACGGGGGTCTGAACACTCTCACTGCTGAGCAGGGGCTGCAGGAAGAATTCGGGTGCCAGCTGCAGCCTCTGCAGGAACAGAGACAGAGAGGAGGAGCTAAGCCAGGCCACTCTCCACCTGCTCGCCAAGGCATCCACTCTGGTCCCCAAAAGGAGAGCTTCCTCACCACTGGCTGGAGGGAACCCTGAGTTTACTTTTATATTTTGAGGTAGACTCTCCCTCAGTAGCCAGGTTGCCCAGATGGGGCTCAAACTACATGGTTGTAAGCATGGCAACAACCTGGGCAATCCTCATGCAGCATGCTGGGAGGCCCGGCTCCAGCTCTTACTGCAGAACGGTGGGGAGGGGAGAGCCGCTTCCAGCCTGTGCCCCATCTGGGAGTTGGATTTCCAAAAGTGCCCAGTAAGGGCTGTGTGACAACAATAGTATGCACAGCCCCCTGGACACAAGGGCACTGGCCACCCAGGGAAGCAGGGAAGTGAATGCACTGAGTATCAGAGGAACAAAATAGTGAGCAGGGTGTGGGGGTGCCCTCCTGGAATCTAGCACTGGGAGGCTGAGGCAAGAGGATCACCTTGAGTTCAAGGCCAACCTGCACTACATAGTGAGTTTAAAGCCAGGCGGAACTGCATAGTGAGATCCTGTCTCAAAAACACACACACACAAAAGTAACAAAAAGCCAGACTCAAAGTCTGATTAGCTTGACTTACTTTCCACCTTTTTCTTTTATTGTCTTACCATTAAGTTGATGCATTACTCTTTTCTTTGCTGGTAGTACTGTGATTGAACCGAGAGTCTTTTCATTGAGCTGCATCTCCAGCCCTTTTTATTTTTTTATTTTGAGGTAGGGTCTTCTAAGTCACTAAGTTGCCCAGCTGGGTTCTAACTTGAGATCCTCCTGCCTCGGCTTCCCAGAGTGCTGGACAACAGATGTACACCATCATCCAGTTTTTAAAATTCACTTTGCAGCCAGGGATTTAGCTCAGTGGTATAAGCACCTGTGTGTTGAGTGCAAGATTGTGAGTTTGATCCCTGGTATCAAAAAACAAAGTAAACAAATAAAATTCACTTTCCAAAGAGAAAAGAATAAGAAAGCTTAGATGTGGAAAAGGAAAAAAAAACCCCAAATACTCTGAATTTTTAAAATTAAACATTTAAAACAAGCTATTATATAACAAACTTTAGTTTTCTAATTTTTTTAAAAAGTCAAATACAATAGTAAGTCAAGGCCCAATTCTTTTGTTACTTTCTCCTTGCTGGGACAAAATACCCAACACCCCAAGTTAAAAGAGGAAATGTTTATTTCAGCTCACAGTTTGTAGAGGTTTCAGTCCATGGTTGGCTGGTTCAAGGCAGGGTGGCATGGCAGAGGGCCTCTGCAGAGGAGAAACAGCCCATGGCAGGGTCCACAGGAAGCAGCAATCTGTAGCTATCCTCCCTTCCCTTTTATTCCACTCAGGTTACAAGCCGATTGGCTGGCGCCACCAGCATCCCAGGTGGAGCTTCCCATTACCCAAATTGGTGGACTAATTTAGTAAGCACACACCCTTAATCCCACCATCACACACCCTAGATCCAGCCACCTCCAAAAAGCCCTACCTATGAGTGCATGAGGCT